ATCGAATCATCACTTCATACCCTGACTTTAGCTCGAACTGCAACTTGCGGACAACGGACTGCAACCCATGGTTGAACTAGTAAAAGGTTGACCCAACAGAAGCCTATTTTTGCGGATGTAGTTGGTTGATTGCCTGTGACGTCACTGATCTCAGTGACGTTACGGATATTAACCAATCACAGAGGTGGGCAGTAGCGCGCTACATATAGCGGCCGCTACTAGCGGCCGCTACATTTTCAGTAGCGGTAGCGGCTCTACATTTAAGGCAATGTAGCGGTAGCGGTAGCGCCCGCTACATATTTAAGTAGCGATTCGAGGTTTTGCCGCTACAGCGCTACCGCTACATTTATAGATAAAGCCTTTAGATTTTACTTAAGGGGACCGGCTACCCTCCAAGAAAACGTTTTTGTTTACATAGGGGAGCCAAATAAAGTAAAATTCATTGAAAACAGAAGAATATGCCCAAAAAGTCTTGCTATTGTAGCCCAAGCTTTCCTATTGCCAATTATTTGCATTCAAGGTACCAGCATGCGTCTTTAGACCTATTTATGTTCAATTTAACGTGAATAATAGGCTATAAATGGTAATTTTTATATATAAATATATATATATATAAAATATTCATTTTACATAACTTTACAGTACAACTGCATTACGCAAAAACTATTTCATGAACATCCATGGTAGTAGCTTTGTTAAACGCGTCTTGTTTGTAGCTTTCAAACGAGTGCAAACACTTTGCAATTAACCTAAAAATGACTTATAAATACCATTTATTTGTAAATAATGATATAAAATGATAATTTTATAAAAGTTCAGGACTGCATTACACAAAAAAGTATTGCATGTACATCTATGGTAGGAGCTTTGTTGAACGCGTCTCGTTTGTAGCTTTCAAACGAGTGCAAACACTTTGTAATTAACGAGAGTAATGATCTATATATACAGATTTAATTCAAATAAATCTTTGTACATATTGTTAAAAAATTTCATATATGTATTTTTAAAATTGTCTTACGCAAAAATTATAGCACGTACAGACATGCGGTGAACTGCGTTAGACGCGCCTTTTCAGCAGCTACAAATATAGTCAAGAAAACGGTAAAGCCAAAATTTCCGATTTCTAGGGTAGCCGGTCCCCTTAATAGTATTAAATATTATTAAAAAACCAGCATGATACATACATAACATAAATTACAGAATAAAACTGTACGAAAGATTTCGGTGTAATGTTGTCAACCTCAGCCTGTTACTAGTGTCAACATGTTAGTTGTTACTTGTTAAATTGTTACCAGTTACCACTTACAGGTTTTTTTCATCTTTCTGTTTGCTTACAGTTATTTTTACACAGTCATTTTTATGTTTCACTTTCCCTACATGGATGTCTACTTTAATATACCAATCTCAAAAATAATCCACATGTATATACAAAAAAGACTGATTTTTATATGTATATGTGGATAATTTCTTAGATTGGTAGATTAAAGTTCACATCCATGTAGGGAAGGTAAAACATAAAAATAACTGTAACTCAGTGTTTCCCAAACATTTTCAGGCTGGCGCCCCCTTTGGCTCACTAGTGAATTTCTAACGCCCCCCACAGACACATATAAAATCATGCGCCTCTTACAATAAAATTTAGTTCGCTGCAATTTTAAAAGATAAAGGTTAAACACAAATGTTTATTTCACAAATAGGACCCCTTTTAGTGAACCAATGTGTTTTTAAGCTGTTTTAACTGTTTCAGCACTAGAAACCTAGGACGTCTCGGGCAAATTTATGGCCCGGACTCGCGTAGCCGGTCTCACGACCAATCTCCAAATTCAGTTATCAAGGAATATCACCCAAACTAATGAACGCAGCTCAATAAAACTTGGAACATGTATTCATCAGAACTTAACGGTGACGTTTAGCTTGCGAAAATTTTTTAAATATCACCTTCATTCGTGAGTTATATTGCGATACAGGCCGAAATTCGCAGTGATCAAAGAATTTCTTCCAAACTACCGAACATATTTGAACGAAATTTTGAATATACATTCCTAACTACCAAATGGTGTTTTTTACATTGAAAAAAATTTTATCTTGCCGTAGTTCGCGAGATTTTTTTTCATTTAACCGTCATTCTTGATTTTACACTTCCTTATTCGCTTTCGTTTGCAAGTTATACAGATATAGGAGAAACGATCGGCTTTTCTACCGGCTGGTTTAACCAAGAGCCGTTTACGTATAGCCGTATAACTCACAAACGAAGGCAAAACGAAAAAATTGTAACGAGCTAAACATCACCGATGCTGAGGTTAGGTATTAATATATTTAATTTCGTTCAAATCTGTTAAGTAGTTTGCAAGAAATTTGCAAGAAACGAAGGCACAATCGAAAAAATTTTCACGAGCTAAACATCACCGTTCGGTAGTTAGGACTGTAAATTAAAAATTTCGTCCGAATCTGTTCAGTAACTTGGAAGAAATTCCTTGATCACTGTGCATTTGGCCCGTATTGCCATATAAGTATGGCAAAAACAATTGAAGGCAAAATTCAAAAAAATTTCACGAGCTTTACATTACCGTTAGGTCCTAATAAATACGTGTACCAAGTTTCATCGAGTTTAGTTTATTAGATTGAGAGGTATTCCTTGATCATTGAATTTGGAAAATGGCCGTGAGACCGGCCGCGAGTCCGGCCGTTAATTTGTCGGAGACGTAAACCCATGAGAAGTTAAAATAAAATACTTAAAAAACTTAAAAAAAAAAACACGTTTTTCTTGTGGACTAAAAAGTAGAAAATAAATTATGGCTCGCCCCAAAAAACGTGTGTCGGGCAGATTTATGATTAAAGCGAAAAGCACACAACACACGAATTTTTGGAAATTTGATGGTGAACGTACAGCCGACCCACGTTTTTTGGGGCGAGCCATAATTTATTTTCTACTTTTTAGTCCACAAGAAAAACGTGTTTTTAAAAAAGTTTTTTTAGGTAATTTATTTTCTACTTTTTAGTCCACAAGAAAAACGTGTTTTTTGCAAAAAGTTTTTTCAAGTATTTTATTTTCTCCTTTTTAGTCCGTTGCTACACATGAAAAACGTTAAATATATTTACTGCTAGACATACATACATATCGATGATACGCAGCGTCAGCGCCTGCTCGTCTATAACGTCAGCACCCGCACGTCATACTATATATATATACCTACTATGTATACATACTTTACTCAATTAAGTTAATTTAGGTCTCTAATTGCTAGTTTTTATGATCGTGTCTGAAATTGTTAGGCGAAAATACCCTGCATGCCGAATTTCAGATCTCTAGAGCAATCAGAAGTGGGTTAATTTTCGTTGTCAATGTTAACAACAAACAAACAAACGCGAAGCTAAGCTAAGAAAAACGTTTTAAAAATAAAACTCAGTACTCACTGCAGTGAGTGACAGAGAGCGCATTTTCTCGTCGACGAAAACGTAAAGTCACAGACTGACAGACAGGCGGACAGACGGACGGACGGACATGGCGAGCACAATAGTGCATTTTTTCCATTAATGAGAAAATGCGCTAAAACAGATCTGGGTGAAAAAACCATCGCTGGGAGTCATGTGCTGCACGTGTTGAGTACGAATCGTCAAACAAACGTTCGAACATCTGACTTCAACTTTGGACTGTCGCCCCCTATCGCCCCCCAAACGCCCTCTTCTTCTTTACCGCCCCCCAAAATCTTTCCATCGCCCCTAGGGGGGCGATATCGCCCACTTTGGGAACCACTGCTGTAACTTCTATTTACTGTATTTAACCCTGGGGTAACCCATACTAGTTCGGTTAGGTTAATTGCAATAAAGTTGCATTGATATGTTTTAAAAATGTTTTATTATCATTAAATGTTAATGAGTAAATCCCAATAGCAGAACAATAAATATTTAGAGATTTCCAATAATTTTGGCCATTGTAGCGGCTAATGTAGCGCGCTACATTTTACTGTAGCGGTAGCGCCCGCTACATTTAGAGCATGTAACGGTAGCGGTAGCGCCGCTACATTTCCAAGTAGCGCTGCCCAGCTCTGACCAATCACAGAAATGCAATCAAACCAGTCAACCAATCCTTCGTGGGAATGACGGGTTTGTTTAGTTTCTCGATCTCAGTGACGTAACAAGAAAGCTGAACTGAAAGACGGAACTTTTCGCGGGTCAACCTTATACAGTTCAACCATGCTGCGACCAACCAGCCCAGTAGGGTTCTGTTCCAAGGTATATAGGTAGTTTTGTTCCAAAATTTATCGTCCTATATACGACGCTTGGTCGTTCGATCGTAGTCTGATTCGACACACGGCCCACGGGACAGATACGGATGGCTCCGGACCGTTCCATCTGGGTGGTGTAAATTTTTTTCGCGTATTGGCAGACCATGCTGGGCTATTCTACTTCAGGCTACTTTCCTGTGGGCTTATTGATAATTGATCTAATTCAATGAATGTGATCTGTCTGGTGGCTTGCGGCTGATAATGTTACAGTCAAAAAGTGTTATACTTATAGGCTACGTTCTTGATGAAAGGGATCATAATAGTCCATTCGATGCACAGCAGTGGTGGTCTCCGACAGCAGACGACTGTCAGGCGTCCCATTTGTATCGATGCTCACTGTAATTCTCAAATGATCGGCTGTCATATTCCGCACAGCTGGAGAATATGCTAAAAAATTGCTGGAAAACTACGTTTAAATCGTCGTTATTGATAATAAATCGTTTTTCTATGACTATATCGGTTTGAAAGCTACGAGGGAATGAAGTGTGAATGTGACTTTGAAAAATGCAAGATGGATAACCTAAGGTCTCAACCCATGCTTGATAGAATCATTGTGATATAGAAGAAAGGCAATTAAATTTAAGCAACGTAGAGAATTGAATAAGAAGAATGCAACGTAGAAAGGCAATTAAATTTAAAGTAATTTGCTATCTAATAAGAGATACTTACAACTTTTTGTAATAATAAGGAATAACAAGGACAATAAAAGGCATATTTTACTAAGGGTTTATGTTATGATGCAAAAACACATATGATATAGAGATTACAGAGCAATTCATAAATCAGTCAATATTAGGGCAAATAAATATGATCAAATAGCGTTATAATGTGAAGTTAGCGCATTGAGCATGCGCTGTAGAGGCAGAATGCACACAATTATAAATGGAATAAATATGTTAAATAAATTGAACTAAATCATTAAATGCCGATCATCGCGCAGGAAGATCCATCAGCTCACGAGGCAGCGGCGCTCAGCAGGTGAGGCTGCAGCCACTGGTGTAGGAGGACAGGGGCTTGCCTTTACAGTTGTTCTTCCAGCCGTACCAGGCGTTGAAGCCGTGGCGCCCAAAAATTTTCTTGGCGCATTTGACGTCGTCCGCAATATTGTTGTCCTTCAGTTCTGAAATTCGAAAAACATATTCTAAGTAACGTAAACGAATTAAAAATCAGTTAGTTACAATTTTGAATGTGGTAACCAATTCAATAAATTATAATAAACATGGGCTTCCATGAGAAGTATTTGCACGAGAAAAATTTGTCGTTTATTTACTTTTGTGTTTTAGAAAACTTGAGTAAAGCAACGATTTTCTTATTGGGCCCATTCGTAATTTTTAATTCACTAACAGATAGCAACTAAATGTATAATTATACAAAAAAATTTCTCACTATCACAATTGATGTTGCAGTCGTTGGTGCCTGTGCCCGAATTACACCAATAGTAGTCGTTGATCTGCGCAGAGAAAGAAATTATGCTCCCAGACGAACATACAAGATTCTAAAAAAAACTGTTTTCATCGAAACCGAACAAGTAAAACTAGGATTCATCACTGACATTAATTTAATCGTATTGTACGTCACTCCGCTCAAAATTTCCTTCCGACCTTTCCGTTAGTTCCGCTCGGACACGTACGGATTCACTGTTTTAATTCATTTTTAGATCAAATGACTGTAATATAATTCATTTTGCACATTCATGGTATGTCTCCAACTATCAGATCAAAGATAAATTCCTTTTCTTGTTATCCCAAATTTTCAGTGAAACCAGCAGAAATCAAGTAACTTTATGCATAATTTCTACAAGCCATAATCTTTACTTTTATGACTATCCGTGTTTTGATGAAAAGCCGCGGTATCGAAGGAGCTCTCATGCTGAACCAAACACACCCCTGTTATTCAGAGAGGAAAGGTGGGGAATTAGTTTTATAAGTGGGATATTTCTAATTGCAAGGAAATGCTACTGCCATACTCTGAATTTTGTGAAACTATGCTCAGTTTTATCATGGAAACGAAATACGTAGAGATTTACTCACAGTCGGCGAGGCTGTTCTGCGCAAAGCCGTAGACGCATTTCAGCTCCTTGGCAAGCGCGCACCTCGTGTATTTTTTGCCGTGGCATGAAGCGCTCAGGCTGATCACAGCCAAGAGAACGGCGGCGAGGGAACGCATCTGCAAAATTATATACACTTTTAACGAAGAAATCACTGTTCGCTCAAGATCTTATAAATTACGGTTCATTATTTCAGTGTCATTAACTCAAGCATTATTTCGTAACTTTTTGCGGCGCCACAGTCGCCACACCTCACCAAACTAAATGAATTTGCTCATTTATATAGAGCCTCTACTCCTTGAAAGAGATCGGGCTGGGAGGTGCTTCTGACTGGAAAGTTTTGAAAACAATTATAAATCAAAATAGGGCCTCTCCTCAAAAATTTTATTCAAGTTGCCTGATTAAGGTATGGTTACCCTCATGCCATTTGTCACTTCAGCTATGTGGCATAATTTATTTTTATTTACGAACAAGAATTTAATATACCTGTTATTTAACTTTTACCTCACAACTACTCAATTTGCATTGAACGTTTTACAAATACTCATAGGTACAAGTTACAAATATGGTACAGACGCTCTGAAGCAACTACTGAATTCCTGAAGTTGTACCTTGAATTAAGTCCAAATTAATGGTATCATGAACAAATGCTCGGGACTTCTTACAACGTCGGGGAAACATTTCAACCTGCATCAATTTCAGTGCGCAATAATTTATACTCAAAGATGTTCCGGTAAGTCGAGCAACTTCATGCGTATAAATGATTAACAAAAAATGTTATTGAAAAACTATAAACATCGATGATTTTAACAATTACAAATTTATTAGCGAGATGCCTAGTCCAACATTTCAATTAGTGCAATAAATCAGACATATACATTAATTAATTAATTACATTTATTATTGAAGACATACAACCTTACCTGTAGATCAAAATTTGCCAAGTAAGATTGAAAATGAGTTGTCAAGGACAAAGTTGATAAATTCGCTATAAAGTTAATGAATAAATTCGGCTTCTTCAGGTATGAAATAGACTGGTAACGGCCGCGTCAAATCGGCGACTTTGGTGAAACGATCTGAGAAAAACACAATATTTTGCTTAGGTACTTGGTATGTGTTTTGGGTATAATGATAGCCGTCATCTATTCACCAATCATTTAATACTTGAATCTAGATGATATTGTGATGAAATTTGCACCGATTTCCCAAGATAGAATCTTATAAGTTTTGGTAAATCTTCTCGCATCCGAGGAAAAATAATTGCTCGCGCTGGTCAAAAGAAAGTTTGTATTTCCACAGGACAAGTTTGAGTTTATCGTATAGTACCATAAACAAATTCTTTTATTGATGTATTAATTGACTTTAAATGACTTAAATGTTTATTGATGTTCGAAATGTAAAGTTCTATGTTCACTTGGGCTAGTCGTTTCTCTACTATTCTTTCATCCTGACTCAGCAGCTTCTAGTCAGTTTGATTTTAAGTTGAGATTTCAATGTAATTTAAATATTTTCACAATTAATTTATTTAAAATTCGCTCCCCACTACAGGGCACATGACACGATTTTCACAAACAAAAAATTCTCTTTGTTAGTAGTCTGGCGAGATCGCGTGTTTAAAATGAGGTCCCCGCAAGCATTTCCCACATATTATATGAGTTTAACTTGCACAAAGGTTTTCGATGACTATTTCTACGGATAGGTAAGGCACATTCTATCTAAGACTTATCTAAGATAGAATGTGTCATTACAGAGGTACACGACTTAAACCTTCGACCGCCAGACTCCTACTATGAGAACTAACATCGCTGCGGTCGTGCAAGCTACTGGAGGCCTTATTAAAGTGCCCAACCCTTTTATAGACGTGCTGCTTCAGCCCACACGTACAGCTCTTGTCCTCGTTATACATGAACACGTTCTTCGTCACGTTCGCCAAGACAAACGTTCGTCATCACGATCGTTTAGACACACCTGAGGCAAGGTCTAGGAGACACAATGGACTCAAATCTAATTTGCATTGCTGGTAAACACATGAAAATTTATAACCACAAGCAGCTTACTGACACGACCCCGCTTAGGATCAAGTCGTCCTCGATCTTAGGTTACAAAATCAAGAAAATACTTTGTCTTAAAACCTTCGTCTCAAACACATCTTTTACCTCAATTAAACTGAAACTTAAAATATTTTGAATAACAAATTTTGATGAAATTCCTTCTCATAACAGCATGAGAAATAATGGACGAACTTTTGTTGGAATAACACGTCCATATTCAGCGCAATTTTGAAGAAATTATAACTTGGAATCTGGAAAACAATCTTTGGGTATTTAACGCCACGTTCTACTGCGCCATATAGCGTTAAAATTAAAATTTGAAGATTCAACATATTCATCCGAAATTATTAAAATTATTTTTTATGGTCAAGATTCTTTCCTTTCTCATCCCCACTCTCCCTTAGAGAAAATGATTCCGACAATTTGAATGGCAAAGCATGTACGCTAAACACCTCAGCTTTGGAGGAATTCTAGCAGAATACTGCCCGTTGAATGATCTCTAAGTATTATTCGCTTCGTAAATCTTACATTCAGAGAATAACTTTATGTTTTCTGATAAATTACTGGCTAATAAATCAAATGTAAAACGTTTTGAATATCCTGTTCACAGGTCACCAATGATAGCAACATGTATTATCAAATCAGTGAAATAATACACTTAGTAATTGGTTTAACATCCCAACATCGGTGTAAATAATCAATGTTCCACAAATCAAATGAAGGTAATTCGCAATTTTCTTGGTAAATACAATAAATATTTTTAAAATAGGACTGCATAATTATTCAAACATCTATCAAGTTATTATAACATCACACATGTGCGATTCTTAACCTTAACAGTCGAGTTATCAAGTTCAGCTTTGTTCTGTACTGTTATCTCAATAACATTGGATAGTATGATCACATTGCGTCAGAAATGTCTGTTTATCATGACTTTCGGTGCGAGATAGCTAAATAGCTGAAGCGCTAGTAAACATTTGGACACTAAACTAACTAACTAACTGAAGCTCCGCTTTCTTGTGCAGTATGCAAGTTTCATAAATCATATGTATAAACTGAGTGAACCACATTATTGCTCTCTGAACTCATTAATAAGATCGCTTGTCATACAACGAATACTTTCGTTGGAAAGCCTACAGTGAACCAGTGCTAAGTTTCCCCTATGAAGCCGAACACAGCATCTAACATTTCCTGGTGCCAGCTGTGCGAGAGACTGCACTACGACCAGCAGAAAAGGGTACTGTACACGACAACCTCGAGGAGTGGTCCCATCTCTCCGCCAATTGTCTCTCAGCCGAAGACGGAGTTATTGATAGCTTCTTGCACGATGAAGTGATCCAGAAATTGAGATAGCAAGCGATAGTGTATTTTCTTTATTGTCGTGATATATATAAATCAATGGACAATGATGTATAAGTCGATTTTTCTGTCTCATATTATAATTGTGAAGAATTACCATTTATTCACGTTAATATAAGAACAACGATTAAATCTTTTTAGCACGTATCCTGTCAGTGATCAAAACTAGATGAACATTGAAGCTTCCGGCGGAATAGCAATTTTTAAGGAAATAATTTCTGTTAAATTAGAACTGCTGCTGCACGTGATAAATTCGTGTAAAGTGATTAATTATCTGACACAAGTGCGAGCCTCTGACCTCAGGACCGAGGCTGCCGAAATTATCTGATCAAGCAAGCACACTTGTACATTCCAGTGACTTTGAGCCTCACGCTCTTTTCTGACTGGGAATAATGAAAGCGATGGAACTAGTGTTTTGTCTCAACTAAACTTTGTACAAATATAGTCCTCTAAAAATCGAATGTGTCTTCTACTCGCCACGTAATACTTTTTGTAGACAACTTATAATGCATGATTATAGATAAAGTTTTATTTGTTTTAAAAATAGTTGTACTGTTACAAAAATTGAAAGACACAAATTCGGTGTAATTATTTAGCTAGAAATTTTGATAGATTTGAAACAATTGTGTATAGTATCCATCGTTATGTTTGATTAAAAAGTATGACATTTGTGTCATAATTTCCTTTGAGTTGCGTTTCTCCATGTGCATTCAGCTCATCGCTGAGAATCTTTAGGATTTTAAAATGAAGCAATATACGAGGGTTGGCTGCAGAAAAGACGATTTATTATCTATTGTACGAATTATTATACACATGGAGAGACTGAACTCCCAGAAAGTTTTGAACGCAAATGGCATACTTTATTATCGAACAGTTTTTAATTAGGTTCTCTACTCTAACTATGATCATTTTAGTATACGTTTTCAGTAACGATGTTGAACACGAAAAAAGTTGTAGCATGAAGAGTTTCTAAACTTATGCGTCTTCAGAATTTGAAACAATCAAAATATTGCTGATCGGCATCAAATTCTGCAAGAATGTCTTTCTAAAACGTTCAATAAAATGAGGTTGGATTTTACATTGATGAATAATAAAACCATCAGTCATTAGCAATCATAGGCAATATGCTATCAACTGAACAATATAAGCCAGCAAATTCACTGAAAGAATTTTTGAACCCCAGCATAATATATATAAATATTGGAAAGACTGCGACAATGATCAGTTGACGTTTTTCAATTAGTTATTTAAGGTCAAAGAACCTTTCCTGGCTGGACACAACCTAAGTAAAATCGTAAAAAATTGTAAAAAATATTTATTACACCTCTAACCCTAACTCTAACCCTAATCTAACGAGGTTTTCGTTAATTCGCATGTCGCAGAATAGCGTTCATGTTTTTTGTGTTGCACTATTAGCAAATAGGTAGATTCTGCGACATAGGTACATTCCGAGACAGTAATTGTGCGACATTTTGTATTAGCTGTCGACTCGGCGTCTAACTAGGTCTGCTTGTAAACACATGAGGATTTGTGTCCACAAACTACGCCCGGACAGATATAAGTGGACCAATAAGATTGGGGATATAAGTGGAGCAAAAGGACTGGGGATATAAGTGTAGCAAAAGGACTGGTGATATAAGTGGAGCAAATGGACTGGGGATATAAGTGAAGCAAAAGGATTGGGGATATAAGTGGAGCAAAAGGACCGGTGATATAAGTGGAGCAAATGAATTGGTGATATAAGTGGAGCAAAAGGACTGGGGATATAAATGGAGCAAATGGACTGGGGATATAAGTGAAGCAAATGGACTGGGGATATAAGTGAAGCAAAAGGACTGGGGATATAAGTGGAGCAAAAGAACCGGTGATATAAGTGGAGCAAAAGAACTGGGGATATAAGTGGAGCAAAAGGACCGGTGATATAAGTGGAGCAAAAGGACTGGTGATATAAGTGGAGCAAATGGACTGGGGATATAAGTGTAGCAAAAGGACTGGTGATATAAATGGAGCAAAAGGACTGGCGATATCAGTGGAGCAAAAGGACTGGGGATATAAATGGAGCAAAAGGCCTGTTGATATCAGTGGAGCAAAAGGACCGGTGATATAAGTGGAGCAAAAGGACTGGCGATATCAGTGGAGCAAATGGACTGGGGATATAAGTTGAGCAAAATGACTGATGTGCTCAGTTGTGCCCTCGCAGAGCAACGTTCATATTATACGAGCTTCTGACGTGTTGGTCCAGGTGCAGCAAGCTAACTCAGACATGTTGGTCCAGGTGCAGCAAGCTAACTCAGACATGTTGGTCCATGATTGGCGCAGAGAGGCGCGGGTTCGATCCCAGCTCTGTGCGCCAGTTTCTGGTCAGAATCGGCGAGGAGGCCGGGCGGTTAAGCACAGCAGAATTGTAGCAGTGCGTTGCGAGTTCGAGACCGCAAAATGCTGCGAATGTTCTGCGATGTTAAGAATCGGCGACAGGCCTACGGCTTAATAACGCTGAAACCGCTATTATTATTATTAAAAGGACTGGGGATATAAGTGGAGCAAAAGGACTGGTGATATAAATGGAGCAAAAGGACTGGTGATATCAGTGGAGCAAAAGGACTGGGGATATAAGTGGAGCAAAAGGACTGATGTGCACAGTTGTGCCCTCGCAGAGCAACGTTCATATTATACGAGTTTCTGACGTGTTGGTCCAGGTGCAGGAAGCTAACTCAGGCGTGTTGGTCCAGGTGCAGCAAGCTAACTCAGACGTGTTGGTCCAAGTGCAGCAAGCTAGCTCAGTCGTGTTGGTCTAAGGGCAGCAAGCTAACTCAGTCGTGTTGGTCCAGGTG